GATTTGGTGTTTTCCTTTGAATCGCATTGCATTATTGGTGTAGTTCCATCTGAAACCGCCGGGGCTTGGGGGAGGGGGGTCAGAAGTATTGCGAACTTTCCCATTCCCCCGACTCCCTACATGGGCTCGTCTCACAAATATGTCCTAAATTATTATGTTTGAGTCTGGTTCTTTGAAAACGCGCCAGCCTTTGAAAAATAACATATGGATTATAATTTCGTATGTGTAGCCTTTCATGGACAGTCCTTTGACGCAAATCTCCACAACACAAGCAACATCACTAAAGGGCATCGCAATGGAGCATTATTTAGCACAGCAAAATTTGGCTCATTTCTCAAGAATCACATTTCATGGGAACACTATTCATCATTTCCTCTATTGGAGTGCCCAGGTAGCACATAACATTGATTGAACGATGATTTGGTGCGAATCGAATGTTTTACTGTTGAATCAACATTGATTCAACTTATCAACAGTTAACGTTCATACACCAACATTGACTAAACATTGATTTAATGCTCCGCTATTCACAGTTGAAGTGTCAACACGTAATCAACCTCGATTCAATGGATTCTTTTGCAGCAAAAAATCCTTTGTTTTTTTTTTCTCTATTCTTAGAATTTTTTTGGGTACTTCATCATGCTTTGTTGAATAGTTTAGTCAATGGCCCAGAATACAGTATGATCATGAAAAATGCTTGATTTAAGGCAGGTAAAAGATGTCTGCAATGACACCTGGCCTAAATTCTATCGTAGGAAACAAAGAAAAATAAACTGAGGAAAATTCATTTTTCATTTGACCATTTCACCTTTGAGATTTTGAAAATGAAATGTGGCGTTTCTAGAGGCTCTCGGTGGAGTAACTTTTCCCTTTTCCATTGGATACAAAGGAAACCAGCATCGATGGAAAACTTTAAATCTCGGAGGGTTCTGCGTCACACTTTCGTGGTGTTGTAACTGGAACTTGGTGGGCCACCTCATAGTTATATCCGCGAATTTCAGTTTCTGTGGCTTGCCTAATAGAATGTTGGGCTTATGTGACGTAAAGTGGGAGTTCGAAATCGGAACAAATCTGGTATTTTCATTCCCGACATCGACGCCGACGTGTTTGGAATAAGACGTTGAATCATTATTGAAAAGGTGTGGATTGAATGTATGAATGTTGTTACATCCATGTTTCATTAACATTGATTCAACGATGTGACCGTCACTGTTAATACAACCACATTGGGCCAACATTAATTCAATAATGGACCATTTGCAGTCGAATTACCTGCAGTAAATGTTTATTTATAATGCTTACTCCATCAGCGTTTGCAATCACTTCAGCCAGGAAAATTTTCTTTCAAGAGGAACGTTCGATTTAGAACAGATAAGACAGTGACTGAAAGGCACTCAAATTTCGTCGCATGAGTGAGTAAGAAGTGCAGTTGTGAAATTCCCGGCTAAAGTACCAAATTGCGGAGGAGAGCCTGAATCGCTACACAGCGAAAACGAGATACTTCAGGGCTATGCTGTCACCACTTTACGTACAGGGTCCAGGAAAATGGGAGCAGCCACTGTGCGAGCCTTCTTCATCAGGCTAGGCCTTCGCCGGTACATTTGCCTATTCGTAGCTGGAATGCTTTGGCTAATGATCATTCTCATCCTGATGAAGGTATTCATGAACAGAATGTCGCCACGCGTTCCGTTTACTGCGAGAACCATCGCGCAAAAAAAAACACACATAATTACGCGGTTGCCACAGTCATGATTGCCACCATGTAGCGTTATGATGTCGTCATGGCGATTGCGAGGTCGACTGGGCATCCCAGGTCAAGTAATTTTCGCTTGTTCGCATTCCTCTATTGGGGCAGAAGCGGGAATTTTATTTTTCATATTCTAGTCAATGACTTAGCCAGGTGCAATTACTTTGACACCCGCAGATGTGTCTCAGTTGGATGGCATGAAATGCCATTCAGAAGGTAATTAGGGTGCAACTGGGGGGGAAAATCGCTGTACCGTAGCCATTCCTGTTCTCTGATTTCAATAAAGCCATTGCAGAAGAGAAGGTACCAGAAAGCAGATATCTACATCTACTGCATGCATTGGAGGACACGGCTTTCGGAATGCCTATTCATTTGACTCATTCGTTGATTTCAAAAGGGTAGTTCGGTTGCAATTAAGTTTCATTTCAGTTCCAGTCTCAAATCAGTTAACGTTACAATATGGTTTTTTGTTCGGGAATAGTCGAAATGTGGCATTTGTCAGGCCGCAGTTGCGAGAGTGTGTGTTGACTCCCCTTCCAATCTTGGACTTCAGTCTGACAAGAGTGTGACTATGGATCCAATCACTTAGTATGCCAGAAGCTTTTCTTCTGTCATGGCGCCTGGAGAACTCGAATCAAACCCACTCTGCTGCAACTGTCTCGAGGTGAAGGGCAAGCTAAAAAATATATATTTGCTTTGATTTCTTCTTCATCTGAGTTGAAGTTGGTGCAACTTGGTTTTCCTTGTCATGTCACGGTGAAATGAGGATTATACATTACTTCCTTTTTCTATTCGCAAATCATGGCTATGGAGCACCCCGTACGCAAAAAGTCCTAAAGTGGCGACGTATACGGAGAAACACATGCCCAATGAACCATGAATATGACACCGATATGTGCCTGAAGTCGAACCGTTTCAAATCGTTTAGATCAGCGGCTCCCTGACTTCTTTGAATCGCGACCCACTTCCTGACGTACATAACATTTTGCTACCCACCGGGAATCCAGAAAGAGGTATTTTCAAAGTAATTATGATGTGAAGAAAACTGATTGACCTTTTCTGCATGGAATGTTTTATCCTAAGCGGATGCGTATATAGTGATTTTTTATGCTGAGAAAATGTCCGCCACCCACCTTCATGGCCTCTTGCGACCCACAGTTTGGGAACCCCTGGTTTAGATAAATAACATACGAGAAAGGTAGAAATGGGTCAACGAATAGTTGGACCACAACTGACTGCAGTTGAACAGATAATAAACTGAAGCTAGTGGCAACTGCAGTCAAACTATCCTCCAACAACAAAGAGGAAATGGAGTATAATTGCAAAATATCAGTCCGTCCACGGTCCAGTCGTAGTTCCAGTCAACTGCAACTACAACCAAACTGGGACGATCTTAGGACTATAGTCCAACTGCAGCTGAATTGCCGCTTTAAAACCGACCATTGAAATCCTATCACAGATCTTTCGATTTCCTAATGAATAAATAATTCGAATAACATGTTTTGGGTTACATGTGGTAGAATTTCCCAGTTTACAGAGTCTAACACTGATTCACTCAAATCAAGAAATATGTATGACGATATGTAGGTCGATAGAAAACAACGGACGGGACCATTCCAGTCGGCTGACGATCACCAGGAGCAAATGCTACGAGCAGTTAATTAATTTCTACTCGTAGTTAACATAAGTGGCGTAGCCTTGGTTTTCCCAAAAGGAGGAGCTAATGGCTTCTTCTCGACCGGGGAAGGGGGTTTGTGAAGGGGGGAACTCTCACCCCACCCCATTCCCCACTCGCAGCGCCACTGGTTGACATGCGAAGGAAATTGCAAAGAATTGGTAAGAAGTAGGGAGATCTTACGCGCGGTTTTCATGGCGTACGTTCGGGCCTTCCAGTGCCCAAGTGGACAGAAGGAGGACAAAGAAGAAAAAAATATTTGTCAGGTGGAATCCTTTCGCACCTTCCATTGACGTCATTTTCGATCCCAAAGGCTTCACAGTTGAGCGCAAAACGAGCAAAAATATTTTTTGGAGCGCAGATTCATCCAGTGAGTGCGAAAATAAATCTACAGGCACTCTTGCGACTCGAGGGCAATAAAATCCCCTTGAAGATATTCTTGACGATCCATGAAAGTCCAAAGGTTCTTCCTTCTTTTAACAACCTTAAAAATTACTGAAACTGAAAGATGTCGTTAGGCAAAATAGGAAAGCGATGTGGAAGCTGTCGTTCGCTAATTCCGTGATTTTGATCTTCTGACTATCATGTTTTCTGACGTGAACATATTTAAGCTAGGAAGCCTGCCATTGAGACCCAATACCCGAGGTTATGCACCTCCAATACCTGATGATGTGGTCCTGAAAAACTCAACTTCCCTCAGTCTCAATTTCTTTAGACAGGGAATCTCCAAGATTTTACATAAGCCTTTGTGTTTGTGGAACCATGAGCGAGAATTAACATTAATTATATCAAGAGGATTTTGAGGAAAGGAAGTGGTATTTTATACGTGCAGGTCAACCTCACGATGGTGACCAATCTCAGTTATTTCAGCAGGAATTGAATACGAATCACAAGGGACCAATGAAACTTGGCAAACTGATCACCTGGCAGATATAATCAGGAAAAATGCATGCTCCCTTCAAGAGCAAACTCTAATCCGATGGGTTAACGCCCGTGGAGTGCGATGGAATAGCGTCAAGATTAGAAATCCTGAATCCCGACTCAAATGTGGCAAGTGCTAAAGGAGGATTTGAAGAAATGCAAACAACAAATAATGTCCAGTGCAGTGGACCAGACCATCCCAAGACTAAAGCTTCTTGTCTACATGAAGGGGGAAAGCAAAAAAATAATCCATTAATGCATTCGGCGGATCTTTGTGCATAATTAAGTCCCAATGGAATTAAATGAAAAAATAAATTTCACGCAATGGAAGACATTCAGTTGGTACAATTATTTATGGCCGACTCCGTATTAAAGACACATCTCATGAATTTCGTATCGCAAAAAAGAACAATTTCAAGGGTTCCTACAATTGCATTCGCAGTAGCTACAAGAAATTGCAAACTTTACGTCTGTTTTTCGGATGGATCGGCATGCTAACGAGAACAAAGGCGGGAACGAAGACTCAGAGAAAGTACAGCAGGCAGATCCGAAAAGACAATCGACTACTGACCCACTTGAAAAGTCCAAAGGTTCTTCCTTCTTTTACAGGGGTAGTCTGCAACGTAACGGAGTCAATAACCACAGTCACCACAACGGAATGGAATGAAATCTCAACTAGCCCCGCATCGGAGGATACAGATCCTTCGGCAACAGTAACCGAATCGACCACTACAGATGGACCTCTCACCCTGACGGAATGTGGTCCATCCCCCGAAGACTGCAAGCATGAAATGACACAGATCGAGGGGATTCTGGAACCCTGTGTGAACAAAAGCGGACAAGTTCCTCAATACCAAGTCTGTCTTGTTGAAATTTCTCACATAAATAAGCAATGTTTTTCTTCCGCTCCCTTGTAATTATTGTGGCAATCGATATGGAATGACCAATTTTCATTGAAGTGTCCAAAGGGACGGATACATTTGCAAGGACACATAACTTGGTCAAATTAATATTTTGATTCACTCTCTTCTTAACTTTCCAATTGGAAAACCATATCTTTTGTCCACCTATGGTTTTCCTGGGTTTCATTATTGAATACGTTCTGTTCCATAGAATTATTGCTCTCGAAAATCAATCATAAGCCTATCACCCATATACAAAACTATACCAAGCAAATTTTGATTCCCAGAAATGCCTTTGGAACATCATGGCCAATTCTACGGACGTCATCGAATTTCTCTTGACTCCAGAGGATTTTGGGAACTTCCCAAATCGAAGCGTACAATTGAGAATTGGCCATGGATACAAGGACGAGTTTCCACCTGGACAAGAGGGAACAACAGTGGAAAAATTTGAATACCCGGTTGATGAAGATACAACAGTGACCATAGGATGCGATGACGCGTGGGTTGACATGATCACTCGCGAAGTTATTAAGCCCTTCAGAGTTTTCTATACCATCAAACCCAATGCAGGTTCGTTTCCTCTTTTCTGAATTTCTTCAAAAGATGAGGGATTCTTCACCGAATGGCGTCGGTATATCGTTGCTGGTCTTACCCAAACATTTAGAAGGGATACTGAAAGTCCATGATCCTCCTCCTTCCCCTACCCCATCCTCTTTGGCCATGTCAGGCACACATTTTCGGCCAATCTCTGGTCGTGAGGTACCTTGAGCAACCTGGTAATTAACTTTGAAGGTAATGCCTGCCACAGCTTTTTTTAAAACCATTTTTCAATTTTACATCTATATACTACTTCTTTTCAGAAATCATCATGTTTCATCTCGTCTACCCGATTCTGAAGAATGGTTGTTCCATAGTAATTGGGATAAGAAAAAAGTGGTATGCAAATATGATAGATTTGTATACCATAAAATGTAATGTAGGTTCGTTTCTTCTTTCCTCAAAAATTTCTGAAGATTTGGTGTTTTCCTTTGAATCGCATTGCATTATTGGTGTAGTTCCATCTGAAACCGCCGGGGCTTGGGGGAGGGGGGTCAGAAGTATTGCGAACTTTCCCATTCCCCCGACTCCCTACATGGGCTCGTCTCACAAATATGTCCTAAATTATTATGTTTGAGTCTGGTTCTTTGAAAACGCGCCAGCCTTTGAAAAATAACATATGGATTATAATTTCGTATGTGTAGCCTTTCATGGACAGTCCTTTGACGCAAATCTCCACAACACAAGCAACATCACTAAAGGGCATCGCAATGGAGCATTATTTAGCACAGCAAAATTTGGCTCATTTCTCAAGAATCACATTTCATGGGAACACTATTCATCATTTCCTCTATTGGAGTGCCCAGGTAGCACATAACATTGATTGAACGATGATTTGGTGCGAATCGAATGTTTTACTGTTGAATCAACATTGATTCAACTTATCAACAGTTAACGTTCATACACCAACATTGACTAAACATTGATTTAATGCTCCGCTATTCACAGTTGAAGTGTCAACACGTAATCAACCTCGATTCAATGGATTCTTTTGCAGCAAAAAATCCTTTGTTTTTTTTTTCTCTATTCTTAGAATTTTTTTGGGTACTTCATCATGCTTTGTTGAATAGTTTAGTCAATGGCCCAGAATACAGTATGATCATGAAAAATGCTTGATTTAAGGCAGGTAAAAGATGTCTGCAATGACACCTGGCCTAAATTCTATCGTAGGAAACAAAGAAAAATAAACTGAGGAAAATTCATTTTTCATTTGACCATTTCACCTTTGAGATTTTGAAAATGAAATGTGGCGTTTCTAGAGGCTCTCGGTGGAGTAACTTTTCCCTTTTCCATTGGATACAAAGGAAACCAGCATCGATGGAAAACTTTAAATCNTTGTGCATAATTAAGTCCCAATGGAATTAAATGAAAAAATAAATTTCACGCAATGGAAGACATTCAGTTGGTACAATTATTTATGGCCGACTCCGTATTAAAGACACATCTCATGAATTTCGTATCGCAAAAAAGAACAATTTCAAGGGTTCCTACAATTGCCTTTTCCTTTGAATTTCTGAAAAATTTCTGAAGATTTGGTGTTTTCCTTTGAATCGCATTGCATTATTGGTGTAGTTCCATCTGAAACCGCCGGGGCTTGGGGGAGGGGGGTCAGAAGTATTGCGAACTTTCCCATTCCCCCGACTCCCTACATGGGCTTGTCTTACAAATATGTCCTAAATTATTATGTTTGAGTCTGGTTCTTTGAAAACGCGCCAACCTTTGAAAAAGAACATGGATCATAATTTCGTATGAGTAACCTTTCATGACGCAAATCTCCGCACCTCCTCCATTTTTACCTTCTATCTTCGTCCTGTCATTATTAGACCTTGCATTGCGAGTTTATATCCCATTCGTGTCGGTTATTAGAAATGAAAATCTAAGGAAATGCCTTATATTTGTATTAAAAATTAGCTGACATTATGACAGCGTAAATATCACGGCAGCCATGATGTCAAAGAAAACCTGTCAATATTTTTTTAGTACTTCTAATGTAGCTGTTCTCGGATTCCAAACCGAGATGAGACCATTGTGTTCAGGAGCTGAATTCATGGTAGCTTTCCATTTATTTAAAGATGGTTGAATGATAGACTAACAGAGAAAATGTTAAACTTTCCCTGTATTTTTCATCGCCAGCATGCAATGTGACAATGATGTCGACATCCCCAGTCACCGCGACAGCATCGTGGGAAACTAATACGTCAGACACCGAGCCAGACTCCACCGCGACAGAATCGTGGGAAACTAATACGTCAGACACCGTGTCAGACTCGACTACGACGGAACAGACATGGACGTCCCCTCAGAAACTGTGTCATTCGCTCGAGAAGATTTGCATTCAGGATGTGACAGAGACCACGGGAATCCTGGAACTGTGTGTGGATTACACTGGAGAAGTCCCGCGATACCAAGTCTGTCGTAAGAGAGCCTTCTCGCAAGACTTAATTGCGTGCTTCTTTCCTTTTCTTGGTATTGGTCTTTGCGAATGTTGGGAATCCAAAAGCGGAGCATCAGATGGAACACCATGTACCACCTTGTCAAATGTTCAAGCCCCATATTTGAATACAGTACATTTTTCATCAGTGCTTCTGTCACGCTGTTGTTGGGTCCTCTTCGTACGAAGAGTGCCCCTTAAGCCTGACCTTTTTGATACCAAGACCTTTTCCGTATGAACTTTTATAAATCTATTATATGGATTGAGATTTTTCCGTGAAGTTCGAGTTATGGGAGGTGCTGAGGGACATATCAATCTGCTTCATTATTTTTTAAAGGAAATTTGCAAAATTGAGCTATTAAGGACAAAAAATTTTAAAATATAGTCCATGGTGCCGTCCCCCCTCCCCCCCTTTCGTACGCACTAAGAAGTCCAGCTGAGCCAAACGTGTTATTGGATTGATGGGATATCCCTAACAAACAGCCATCCAACTTTCAATCCCCTTTGATGGCATCGACCTCCTGTTGGGCTGCAATCAAGCTCTTCACCGATGTTATAGTAGACCACAAAGATTTCCCATATACCTGATGTAAGGCTGTCACGTGTTTACCGAGACCCACGGTGAAGTTACATCATGTGAACTACATCTCTTGTAAACACATCTATTGTTGGGCCATGACCTTGGCAATACGGCACAAAATCTACTTGCAAAATGTGTAAATTGCCACCTGCAAAATGTGCACGCAATACAGTATTAACAATTTACAACGAGAAAGGTACTTAAAAGTACGAATAACAAGTTATTTTTTCGTAATGTTGGAGTGGGGTTTGGAGAATCAGTTTTGATTGAAGTGTTCGGAAGGGCACCTAAAGTGCTTTGCGACAGTCAAATTCATACTGGTGTCTCGCATGGTCTTCCATCTGCAGCTGCCATTCCACTGCTCCCTGTGCCACTAGATTATCATCTTCGTCGCATCCTCATCATCCAACCTTTGAATCAATTATATCTGTCGTAGGTACGTCATAAGCCTATATGAAAAGACACGAACAACTAGACATGTTCCCGATGGTTGGTGCGTCTGCGTCGCGTGAAGATGGGAGGATAGCATGAAGTGTAGGATGCCAGATTTCACGTGTACGCCCAGCAAATCCGTCTACGCGGCCACGAGCAGCTTCTCTCACCCATTGTCAACTATGGATCTGTCATCCGCGAGGGCTGGAAGGGAAGTGGATGTTTCAGTTTTTGGACGGGCAGCCCGACCCAGGCAGAAAACTGCTCATGCACAGTGGGCCGTGTTGTCCGGTCGCTATGTTTGCTGTGGGCAGACGTAATGAAAAATAAATTTAAAAAGTGAAATACCGATCGCAATATCTGCTATTTCACCATTGTACTTATGGCAATGCCAGATAATAATCAACTTAAATTATAAACACCTAAATAAGCTGTTTTTAACTTACAGCACTGCCTTTGGAACATCCTAGCCTGTCCAACAGGCGCAATCGGGATACTCTTGACTCCAGATGATTTTGGGAATTTCCCCAACGAAACCCTGCTATTGCGGATTGGCTATGGATACAAAAACGGTTTCCCAAATAGAACCGATGAAACAGTGCTGGCTTATTATAACTACCCTGTTGAGAAGAATACTGCGGTGATCGTGAATTCCGATGTCGCCTGGGTTGATATGATGACTTTGAAAGATACCAAGCCTTTTAGGGCCTTCTATACCATCGAAGGGCATGCAGGTCGGTTCCTCATTTTTTTCGGTTTATTTTACGATAAGGGATCGTCGTCGGGATCGTAGTGCACATTTGTCCACCACGTTCTCGCTCGCGAAAAAAAAAGATTCATTTCAACTGAACATGGTATCCCAGAGCGAACCCCTCAACCGCTACTCGGAAGTCAAGCGTTGTCTAGTTTATATACAAAAAATGAACATGTACAATTTTATAAGCAAGCTACAAGTTAAACTCGAAAAATGTTATTAACAGTACCTGATGTAGTTGTTTTTAATGTTATAATAATTAAGACATGACCAGCTTTGTTTGAGTGAAGTGAATCCAAAAGCCAGGAGCCGCGATTCTGTCATCTCCGTGATGGACTGAGGGTACATCGATTGAAAATATTGTGACAGATGAGGATGGCATCGAGAGGCTCGACTGAATGTCCTGGGTTCGGTGGTGTAGTGGTATCACACCTGACCGGCAATCAGAAGGCCCGGGTTCAATTCCCGGCCGTTCCTTGGCTTCTTTCGACCTCTCATGCCTTCCGTCGTCCGTCAGCCACTTCCCCTCCGTAACAATATCGTGCCATTGCACATGTGATTGGTCGATCTTCAATAATTAAGCAATCATCGCTGGAAAACTCAGGCTGGTGTGATTAATTGAGCGTAACATGCTTAATAGAATATGCTGTTGATTCTGGAAGAATTCGGAATGTGAAGAGAGGAAGAGGCAAATACCATAGTGGTGTTCCAACTATACGTCCCAACCGTTCCTGACAAAAAAAGCAGGAACAAGTACAAAGCACGCTGTTCATTAATGCGGTAAATTTCTCCCATGACTGACTTGGTATGGAGGGACTTGTCTCTTGCTTTCCATTCACGGTTCCAGGATTCCCGTAATCTCTGTCAAATTATGAATGTATTTTTCCCCGAGTGATTCACACAGTGCTGTCGTGTTCGAGTCTGGCTCGGTGTCTGAGGTTGTGATTTTCCAGGCGGGAAAATCGCGGTGAAAAAAATTCGCGCTGACGGTGCCCTTACGAAACATCCGCCCTGGCTGAGCTGAACGACCAAGTGGATAAGAGCCGGATTTTTAAACAGTTGGATGTTCTACCCGGGGTGGATTTTTAAATAGATTGACACTTTTCCAACAGCTGGAAACTCTCCTAGTTCCAAATCCACCTGACAGTTGGACGTTTTGCAAAGGTCGCCAGATATGAGAAAATCCAAGTCTACATGATGCTACATTCCAACCAGGATGGTGGTATCACACTTAGGCAGTGGTTGCCACTCTCTCGAGTTGAATCCGGACCTCTTACGAACTATCTTCATGCCCTCCATGCAAGGCAGCGGAATTTCATTGGAAGCATTTCTTCTTCCAATGAAATTCAGAGGAGAGGAAATGAGACCGAATTCCTCATTTTCTTATCAACAATGGGGACATGGAGTGGTCATGGAAAAATAAGGATAAGGGGACTCTTACGAATTCCACGGGGCTGAATAAATGATTAAATTGCTAATGGCAGAACATTTACTTTAAAAAAAAAGTTTCTTAAAATTAAAAAAAGAACAAAAAATAAATTAGCAACATCCCAGGATCCTCAATTAACATTTCTACCTTCTCCTTTACTAGCGAGTTTGTTCACCTATCAGAACACTCGAGATGCGTACGTCTTTGTAGCTCAACCATATAGGAAAATATTCTCAGAGGAATATCTATTTTCTACCTCCACAAGTACCACGCCATGAAACTCCTTAGATACTACTTCTCATCATGGTATGAAGTTACTTTCCTAGTAGCACATTGTAGTCATCATCCGAATGATGAATCAACATTGAATTCATGTTGTTTCAATACTATATGCTCCTAGGTTGCATGATGTGGATGTTTCTTCGGTAGCTTCCCATCAAAAGGTGTCTTTGGAATATTTCCTTCATCAAACGCTTTTATAATACAACTATAAAAATTTTGTTTTCCTCAGGCGAAAGATGTTAGGATTACCCATAGGATCCACACCCCAAAATTTAATCTCGAGCTACGTTTGCATATTTCGCATTTCGATGTTTGCTCCTTCCACTCCGGCGGAACGAGAAAACATAGGATAAATACACCTGCCAAAAAGTATGGTGCAAGAAGGATGGTCCCAAAAAGTGGAATGTTTAAAAAAATGAATAATTTACAGGGTGGACGAAAAGTCGCGTTACCCTTAACTTCCGCCGTTTCATAGGTCCATGTGCATACTTACGCAAATTCACCCACAGAGTTTCCTATCCTTCACACTTCCTTTTTTAAACGCAAGTTTTTCCCACAACAATGACATTTTCATGAAAGTTCCTTCTCAAACCGTTCCGTAAATGCTGCCCTCATATCACGCATGCTTTGACATGTGACAGGCCTTTCGCGAACCCAAATACTAACAACCATTCTTTCTTCGGTTGAATAAGAGTTCGTGTGCGCCATGCTTGCGACATTACAGACTCACCAGCTGTGTTACACTGAAGCCGTGAAGGCGTTAGTCATAGGGCAATTCTGGGATAACGCGACTTTTCGCCCACCCTGTACAATAACATGCACTTCTGTACCGTTTTACAGCTTTCTTGAGCTGCACGATTCGGCGAAGCATTATCATGGGAAAGACCTCTTGAACAAATATGCCTCGGGGTGTAATTGCTCTAAATTCTGATTTTTTCCTAAGTCATTAGCACATCATTCATGTACCAAGCTTCATTTCTCTCATAGTTTCTGGAAAATGGTTAGAATTTGCGCGCCTCATCAAGGCAACAGAAACGTCCTGGTTAGGATGGAAGATAATGCTGCTAAGAGAGAGTTCATCTGAGAGGAAGAGGGAGAGCATATGACAAAAAAAAACTATCTTAAATGAAGAAAAATGTTACGTTCATAAAGAGGTTATTGTGTTTTTTTTTCAAATGATTATCCCCAAATTTTGCCAGTCGTAGGGGCGAGTCAGAGACTCGTTCAGCGAGTTCTGATATGATGAGGGGAAAATCTCTTGGAGAAAATTGTCATTCCTCGTCATTGAAGCGGCCCTCACGGATGCATGGGGTCCGAGTGCGGAAGTCTCCATACATAACGACCTGCAGATATATGTATGACCGGATGTCGTATAGTGAATTGCTCTCAGGTTTCACAACCGATTTGCAACGACGATAGCTTATTCCTTTTGTAATTTTAATGTGGATGCGCGACTCATTCTTGATTTATTTTTTAGGGTCGACCTTTCACATAACCCAGATGACCTTTCACATCATTTGGGACCCAAATTTCCCCGTTATATATCATTCGAAAGCCCTTGATTACATGTTGCAATAAATTTAACATTTTAAAATGTAGCTATTTCATCCTGCTGTGGTAGATCTGCGTTTTGAGAATGCACGGGCGCCATCTCCGTACAATCTATTGAATATATAACTGATTCGAGACTACCGTAAAGCACCAGTATCCATTACTCGACTTCGCATCGAAGCTCACATTTATTTTTGTCGTACTTGAAGTGTTCGCCGTTCTCTTCTAGCGGGTCTTTCATCCTATAGACTTTCGGGATTAGAAAGCATTTGATTTCAGGATTTTGCAGCCTTATCCCACATGAATTTGTGAATGGATAGGAGAGAAAGGAAGAGAAGATCCCAAGATTAGTGAGAGTGAGTGTGACACTTGGCTTCGATCCAAAGATCCGTTGTAGGCCAGGGTGCTAGGTGTATTCTACTGTTTCCAATCATTGAAAATTGTCAAATCGGATAATGTTGCGACTAAATTGGCGTGTTTGCTGTACATGTTCGTGTCTGCCCAAGTGTGCGTTAGTTCCGTCCCGCTGGGTCCCTACGAACTCATAAGAATCATTCAACCTGAATGTTCACGTTATTTTTCTGGAATAATTCCTTTATCATGCCACAAACACGGCGACAGAAAAATATGGTTCGAAAAAGCCCCTGCGCCCACGATCGTAAGAACCATGATATTCTATGCTTGAGAAAAAGTTCGCTCCAACAGTCGCCAATATCTAAAGCGATAGTGATTTCCCAGTGAAATTCAGTATAAATCAAGTTGCTCCTGGTTATGGAGTGTCGATCCCATGATCGGAAAAAAAACAATTATTGGTATATATTTTACAGGCGTAGACTGCAACTCGACGACGGTGACAGAAACCACAGTCACTGAGACAGACTTTAGTGAAATGTCGTCTGTCTCAACATCAGGGAATCCAGGTACATCAGAAACTGATTCTAGCACTAGCCCAACATATGAACCAAGCTCTTTTTCCGAAACCACCACAGATGAATCAACATCCACCCCCGAAACCACCACAGACGGATCAACTTTCACTCCCGAAACCACCACAGATGATTCAGCCTCCACTCCCGAAACCACCACAGAGGATTCATCCTCCACTTCCGAAACCGTCACGGATGGATCAACCTCCACTCCCGAAACCACCACAGATGATTCATCCTCCACTTCCGAAACCGTCACGGATGGATCAACCTCCACTCCCGAAACCACCACAGATGATTCATCCTCCACTTCCGAAACAGTCACGGACGGCTCAACCTCCACTCCCGAAACCACCACAGAGGATTCATCCTCCACTTCCGAAACCGTCACGGATGGATCAACCTCTACTTCCGAAACTATCACTACAGATGAATCAATTGGATCGTCTGAATCCACCGATATATCTGTTACATTCCCGTCAGGCGAGACGACGGAGCTGTTTGATTGCGTCGACCAAGGTGAATGCACTTAACGTAGCCTTATTTCATGCGTCATTTAGTTAGAAGCAAAGTATATATATCAAATAAGTTCAACAAGGATTGTAAAAACTTTTGTGATTCATTTTCATCACTTTTCAGGGCACATGCTGATACCAAGTGGTGCATCTGGGTTATTCCTCATCTCCATATTCCTAGCAATCGTCTTCGTTGGATGAAGGTTTGTCCTACTGTCTCCAGCACTTCTCTTACCTTTGGATAAGTCGGCATGACATCGAAAGGCTGCTCAGGTTGTGATTGCGTAGTTACAATATTGAATAAAAACTTTTTTTGATTGGATTTGGTCAAAGGGAGCGTTCCTACCATGAATATCCATCAATGGTCCTGCCTTCATTTCTTACTGACGATAAATATATCGAGACTTTTAATATTAAGGATGCGTTGCCCTTTCTGTGAATAAATCACTCTATATATATATATATATATATAGATTGAATAGAAGAAGACTGCAATGTCCCTCCCAGCCAAAGCCACCCCATGGCAACAGGCAGGAAATGTCTGGCCACTAGCTCAGGAGAAGAGTGCAGAAAACCAGTGAATCCTGGAAACATACTTTGTCAAAATAGCTTGCAGAGCTGGGGCAAAGCTGAAGAAAGTTAAAATGGAGAATTGATAGCGAAGGATCCCATCCTGGTAATTTGTCAGGCAGCCTGCGTCGTCAGGGGGTTGAGGCCGCAAGTCTGACTAAACAAACCCTACCCAGAAAGTTTATACTGCCAGGTGCTACGGCCTATGGAATTAAACAGTTAGACTGTACCTAATGCCCCAGAGGCAATCACGGCTTAAGTCCGTCTGCCAGTGCCACAGTTAACGATCGATTGGCTCGATCAGCCTCNCTATGGAATTAAACAGTTAGACTGTACCTAATGCCCCAGAGGCAATCACGGCTTAAGTCCGTCTGCCAGTGCCACAGTTAACGATCGATTGGCTCGATCAGCCTCGCGACTGAAATGCATGGTAGACTCAAGCCTAAGAAGGAAAAGGAGCGAGAGCATGGCTCGGAATGGCTCAAGCCTATGAGGGAAAAGAATAATGGAGGGAAAGGCTAGTTGCGAAAGAAGCCTATGCAAGAAAAAACGTAGCCCAGGGAAAAGGTCCTACCATGCATTCAGTTAACTGTGTCCTGCACTGACAGACTGGAGCGATGCCCAGATTGCCTCTGCTACTTTCAGGCCTTGGCCTTGGCATATTAGGCCTATAACACCTGACCCAACCCCGACTAACTGGATAAGCTAAACCCTAGGATGAATTAAGAAAAGTTTTTATGGGAAAAAAGCCCATGCACCGGTAAACTGTCATCACCGGGATCGTATTGCAGTCACTTTGTGCTGCAACAGCCGCACATCCGAGCTGTGTATACAGCAGAGTTATAAAGAACCTCCAAACTAATGCAACCATGAAAATGCTGTATCACCCCCTTCAGATGGATACTTGCGAAGATCTTGCTTGAATTGCTGAGAAAAAAATTCAAAGTGTTTTCTCAAGAGGTCTCTTGAGAATCCATTATTCCTCAGCCTTTGGTGCAGGAGTTCACTATTAAAGTTAAATCCTCCTATGTCAGAGCATATTAGACAAAATATTTTCAGTTGGGAAACTATAACATTTTTGATAATATGGCTAGGAATATTACTTCTGGTGATCTTGCTTGAATTGCTGAGAAAAAAGTTCAAAGTGTTTTCTCAAGAGGTCTCTTGAGAATCCATTATTCCTCAGCCTTTGGTGCAGGAGTTCACTATTAAAGTTAAATCCTTCTATGTCAGAGCATATTAGACAAAATCTTTTCAGTTGGGAAACTATAACATTTTTTATAATATGGCTAGGAATATTACTTCTGGCATTGGAATATTACATTCTGGCATTGGAATATTACTTCTGGCATACTAATGAATTCGAAGCTAAAATCCCTTTTCTTATCGTATATGTCTGTGATGAAACAATCTGTCCCATTCTGCACAGATATATTCAAATCCAGATAATGGGCATATTTGTATGGGTAGGAGACAGTTTCTTCTAATTCGAGACAGTCAGGATATATTTGATGAAGATCTCTTTGTATTGCAGAGTTATTAATAGCGATTAGATCGTCAATATACCTGAAAGTATTTATGCTTCTGGATTAGGGTTTTATTCATAAGTTTCGATTCATAGTAAAATTAAAATAAATTTGCCATATTAGTAGAGCAATTGCTGCCCATTGGAATCCCAATTTTTTGCCTGAAAATCTGATCACCAATTTTGATGTAATTATTGTCCAAGCAATTCCTCAAAATGATAGAAGATAACTCTTCATGAATGAAACGATATTTATATGTGAAACCTGACTCTGCATAGTCCTGGAAAAGCTCAAGAATGTTTTGATGCAGAATATCTAATGGTATTTTAGTGTATAAAGTTGAAAAGTCCCATTACATTACAGAATTGTCTTTCCTAGATTCATTCAGTGCCTTGATGGCTTGTAGCACCCAACTGTTGTTGTTTATGATCCAGTAACAGTGACAATTCTTGTATCTCAGTCGGATTTTGTCACAGAGTCTGTCAAGAATGCCATTTAAAAGTAGAGAGGAACCCTTGAGGCAAGTGCCTACAGAACTCGCTATTAATCGAAATTTGATAGGAGTTTTATGGAATTTAGGATTTGAAAACAAAAAGGGCAACTTCATATTTCTCTCATCTCCAGCGATGTTGAAGTTACTGCTAATTTTCATTAGGTTACTTAGGATTTTATTTTGGGACTCTTTAGCTGGTTCATAGGTAGTATTTTCCAAAACTTCTTTTTTCATAATTATACCATAGAGCCTTTTACAAATCATTACATTATACCATAGAGCCTTTTTACAAGTTATTGCTGGCCTTATCAATGACAGCAATGACGAAATTTTCTTGGAGTTTCGTCAGGGCAACATCGAATTCTGTTTTACTTATGCCAAAAAAGTTTTCAGAATTCTTGGGAAGGAAGTTACTTAATGAAAGCTTGACTTGCCCGTTTAAATGAATTTTCCTTTCCAGGAAAGCTTTAGAGGGCATTCCCATTTTATTTGATATGCGTTTAATGTAATTATCCAAGGAGGTTAGGAATTGTTGGAAAAAGTACTCTTTATTCTGTTTCTTATTTAACCTATACTTGCTGCCTTTTGAGAGCAGTTCTCTGAGCCGGACATTCTCTATAATGTCTGGATTACCAGTAATAATATGTCCATGATGTTCATCAACAAAAGTGCTATATTTACTGTTGCTGCATATGCAAGGCAAATTTTCGAGTGAATTAAGATCAAGATCATGAACAAATTGCCTATAATTGCATACCAGCATGCTCAAAGGCTTTTGCAAGCTATAAGAGATCCTTGGATACGTATCTCTCACGGGAAATTTGCTTTTAGTATATGCATTGCCCAAAACTGCACCCAATTTGAAGGAATCTAGGCATTTACTCAAGAAAGGGACGATAAGGAACGATTTCGAATGCTTTACTTGCTTCTCAAAGGAATTTACGTTAAGTTTGAATTTACAGAAATCAACAACGAGATCTATGAAGTGCTGATTCTTCATCTCCTCAGAAAGGATCTTTTTCACAAGACATTTCACTTTTGCTTTGCTGAGTTTATTTCATTTTTTAATTTATTAATGGCATCTGTGGAGAGGAATTCACGTTCCCACTTCTTCATCAACTCTATAAACCATCGATCGACTCGGACGTCAGCTATAAATGGCTGAATAAAAGAAAAACTCCGAACTGAAAGTGGAACTGGAACAGTTGTGCGGAATGAAAACCACCATAGTTCCGATCATCATAGGCACTACTGGCGTCGTCCTGAAAGACTTCAAAGTACATGTCAAGAAGCTGGAGTGTGAAATCTCACTCGATATCCTCCAACGTACAGCATTCTTGGGCACGGCCAGCATCCTTCGCCGTTTTTTTCAGAATTAAGACGAGTCTGAGGTCTGGGATGTGGTTCATCCCCCTTCATATCTACAATACCGGCAGGTGCCTTGGAAGGATTTATTTTATATTGATATATATAAATTAAAATTATATATATAGTAATGGACCTAATTTTAAAGAAAGATATTGGCTAAATAGGCAGTTACCTGGCTGGGCAGCAAACTGCCCCCAACTAAGGTGCACAGATAGTGTAAGAGAAGTTATTTGGTGCCGAAATTGCTCGAAACTACCTGAGGGCAACAGAAAATGCCCAACCTTTGGACCCAAAAGCGTGGGACTTACAGATGAGAGTCGAAGTTATTAGAGACAGCTTGCAGGTATGGGGCAAGGCTAAAGGAAGTTAAAAAGAGAAGGGACAGCGAAGGATCCTATCCTAGAAATTCACCAGGCAGCCTGCGTCGTCAAGGGGTTGAGGCCACAAGACTGACTTACAAACCCTACCCAGAGAGTCTCTGCCGTCAGGTGCTACGGCCTATAGAATTAAACAGTTGGACTGTACCTAATGCCCCGGAGGCAATCACCGCTTAAGTCCGTCTATCAATGCCACAGTTAACGATCGATTAGCTCGATCATCCTAGCGACTGAAATGTATGGTAGACTCAAGCCTACAAAGGAAAAGAAGCGAGAGCATGGCTCGGAATGATCAAGCCTATGAGGGAAAAGAAAATGGAGGGGAAGGCTAGTTGCGAAAGAAGCCTATGCCAGAAAAAACGTAGCCCAAGGAAAAGCCCTACCCTGCATTCAGTTAACTGTGTCCTGCACTGACAGACTGGAACGATGCCCAGATTGCCTCTGCTACCTTCAGGCCTTGGCCTCGGCACATTAGGCATATAACAACTGACCCAACCCCGACTAACTGGATAAGCTAAACCCTAGGATGAATTAAGAAAAGTTTTGGGAGAGAAGCCCATGCACTGGTAAACTGTCATCACCAGGATGGTATTGCAGTCACTCTGTTCTGCAACAGTCGCACATCCGAGCTGTATATACAGCAGAGTTATAAAGAACCTCCAAGCTAATGCAACCACGAAAATGCAGTATCACCCCCTTCAGATGGATACTTGTGAAGATCTTGCTTGAATTCCTGAGAGAAAAGTTCAAAGTGTTTTCTCAAGAGGTCTCTTGAGAATCCATTATACCTCAGCATTTGGTGCAGGAGTTCACTATTAAAGTTAAATCCTTCTATGTCAGACCAAATTAGACAAAACCTTTTCATTTGGAAATTATAACATTTTTGATAATATGGCTAGGAATATTAATTCTGGCATTGGGCATACTAATGA